AAGTAGTAGTAGAGGAGGAAGAAGAGGAGATCCCCTCAAACGTGTTGGAATCTGGGGGTGGCGTAGACGGGTGCTATGACCCGGACTTAGAGATAGTGTCTGAGGTGAGGGGGTATGTAAGCGAATTAGGGAGTAGAAGTAGCCTTAGGGGGTTAGTAGGGAACTGTAACCTTCCCCACCATGTCCTAATCAGGCCTGCCGGGGTGAATGAGAGGGCATGCTCAGCACCCCAAGATCATTGGATGCCCATATACCTGCACTATTTGATTGCAGGGCTTAGGTTTCCCATTCCAGAATTACTGGTTGGGCTGTTGTTAGATTATAGTATAGGAATAACCCAGCTAACTCCAAATGCCATGAGGGTAGTAATAGGTTTTCTTGTATACTGCAGAGTTCGGGGGGTTGGGGTTCCCACTGTGAATATGTTTAAACATTTTTTTATAATTAAGGCTGGGGGTGGAGGAGAGAAGGGGTGGTATCACTTCGGTCCTCGGTCGTCCAGCAAAGAGAATAAGAATTTATTCTCTCCTGGGCCGTCATCCATCAAAGGATGGAAAGAAAATTTTTTCTTTGTGGATGACACCGAGTGGAGTAGGAGGGATGCCGAAGTGGAGCAGTTGTCTGCTTGGAAAGCGAAGAAATCCAAGCAGAACAACTATAAGTTGAACGAGGATGAGGTGGAAGAAGTGAAGAAGCTAGTGAGGGAGGACGGAGACGTGGTGGACATCCTATACCTCACCAGTCCGCAGGCAATAGAGGCTGCTGAGCTCTATGGGCCAAGCTCATTGAGCGAAGGTCTGTGTATGTTTACATTGTGCTATGTTAGTTAGATCTTAGTTTATGCGTTTTGACTTTTGTGCTTGTGTTGCAGCTGAGATGGAGGAGTTTACCAATGCTGCTGGGGGGCTGCGCATCCCCAAGAAGCCAAGGAAGAAGTCAACGACTTTAGCTGTGGCGAACAGAGGGGTGCCCGAGAGAGAGCGCCTGCCCAGTACTTCAGCCCGGGCCATGGAGGTGCAGCCAAGGCCGGAGCCTGTGATGGGAGGCAGTGAGGATGTAAGCGAGGAGACGGCACCGCTCCAGAGGAAGAAGAGGAGGGTGGCAGAGCTAGAAGGTAGGGTGGATGAGGTGGTGGAGTTCGTGCCTCGACCTTCTCCTCCAGAAATCGATCCTGAGGTCCAGGAGAGGGGAGAGGCCGAGGTGCGAGGCCTTAGTGGGGGCAGGGAGCGCACCCTACCCCACGCGTACCAGAAAGGTTTGTTTGAGGCAACAAACATGACTAGGGCGAAGCACTTTCTCAACACTACGCTTCCTGACGTGGATAGGATGCAAGCGAAGAACGAGGTGCTTAGCCATGCGGGGTATACCGTGGTGAGGCACGCCCTAGAGGTATGCGAAATCTAGATTTTACTCTGGTTGCATGTTTGAGTTTTTTGTCCCCTATGTCTGATGTCTGACCTCTGATTGCATTGTAAAGTACGAGCTTGACAAACGCTCTAGCGCAGGAGTATACAGAGAGCGTTAGAGATCATGCCAGCTTGCAGAGGTAGTGCGATGCCCTGCGAAAGGAGAAGGAGGAGCTCCAGAAGGAAAAGGGGGAGTTGCAGAAGAAAAACCAGCAGATTCAGAGGAGGCTGGATGAGGTGACACCAACAGTGACCGAGCTCCAAAGTGATAACAATGTCTTGAGCACGAAACTCTCTCTTGAGGAACGTAAAAGGAAAATTTGCGAAGAGAAGCTCGAGGCTCAAGACAAATATATCGAGAGCCTGAAGAAAGGGGCAGTGGAGCTGAAGAAGTACGTGGAGCTGTTGGTGCACAACAGAATGGAGGGACATATTGGCAACTTCCTCAACTCCAGCACCTTCGAGGACATCCTCAAGCTATACCGGCTGCCAACCGCCATCCTAGCCTTCACCGACTGCAGAAAGAAGGTGAAGGCTCAGTACCTTGAGGTGGACGTGACAACGGTCACCTTTGGGGAACAGGAGGAAGGAGTGGAGGAAGATGGCGAGAGTCTCTGTGCGGACTTCCGCCCTTAGATTACTCTGAGGTGAGAGCGTGATGCAGAGGGGCGCACCATATTTCCACCAACCTTTGATGCTGAGTTGGTGGCTGTGGAGGGAGAAGAAGAAGAAGAAGAAGAAGAAGGAGAAGAAGTGCTAGACGCTGGAGTTGAGGCGGCAATGGCTGAAGTGCAGCCTCCGAAAGTGCAGCCAGTCTCCTCTGACGAGGTGCAGCTGCTGCTCCCCCCCTGAAGCAGAAGTGCCAGTCCTGCCTGCTGGAGACGAGCCACTTCTACCGCCTCTTCCTGTTGAGGAGCAGCCTTCTCCTCCAACAGAGTAGCTTAGGTTTTTATTTTGTTAATGGTATTTGTAAATAACATTTGTGGAGATTTTATAAAATTTTTAAAGTTTTACTCTTGATCTTCAGTTTTGGTTTGAATTGCTAGTTTATTTTAAGTGAATGACTTCGGATAAAATAGAGTAACTTTATTTAACACAAGGTTCTGATCTCCGATCTTGGATATATAATAGGCGGACTTCAAATACAGAAATGAGTAAATCACTTCAAATGTAAGTGTAATAAAATCATAACCCCACAAATGAAGTGACTGAATAAGTCATAATGACAGGACTGAATCACTTCGAATGTGAAGTGAAGTTCATTAACGATGTAAAGGAATAACAAAGTTTTCTGGAAAGAGATGCATTAAGGATAAAATTTCTTCAAATTATTGACATTCCAGACTCTAGGAACCCTTTTTCCGTCAGTGTCCCGTAGGATATAAGCACCTGGGTGCGGCACTTCGGCGACAGTGTAGGGGCCTTCCCAGTTTGGTGCTAATTTGCCGAATCTAGTTTCGAACCCCGTTAGACCAGCTTTCCTGAGAACAAGGTCTCCCACTTTGAATGATCGGGGTCGAACTCGTTTATTGTAGAAGTTTGCTATTTTCTGCTTGTAGACTAGAGTTCGAAGTCGTGCTTCTTCTCTGAGGTCATCAAGCAGATCAAGGTTCTCCCGAAGCAGTTGTCCATTCCGTCTTTCATCGAAATGGGTGACTCTGAAGCTTGGAACTCCTATCTCGATAGGAATGACTGCTTCGGTTCCAAAGGCCAGATGATAGGGTGTTTCACCTATTTCAGTGGATTATAACTTTAGAACCCGCTTTACATGTTATGCATAGTTGTTCTAAGGTAAAACTGTAGCAGACGAAGTAAAGCAATATAAAATTAACCGAATAGGCCCGGTGTAGAGTAATACCTGTGGCAGTGCGACTCGTAGTTCTGTACGCCCAAAGGCCGTTGTTGAGCTCATCTGCCCATTTGGCCTTGTGTTGTTCCAACCTCGGCTTTATACCTTCTAAGATGCACTTGTTAACAGATTCGACCATGCCATTGGACTTTGGATGGTAAACCGAGGTGAACTGTAGTTTAATCCCGTAGCTGGAACAGAAATCTCGAAAAGAGGTGCAGTTAAATTGAGTTCCATTATCAGCCACAATCTGATTCGGGATCCCATATCTACAGATAATTGAACTGAAAACAAAGTCTTCAACCTTCTTGGAAGTAAGACTGGATAGTGGCCGAGCTTCAACTCACTTTGTGAAATAATCTACACCAACAATTAAGTGGGTTACACCACCAACCCCTTTGATGAATGGTCCCAAAAGATCCAATCCCCACTGAGCAAACGGCCATGGTGCTACCAGAGTAGTGAGCTCTTCTGCAGGCTTGTGAGTCAGGTGCGCAAAGAACTGGCATTTCAAACATCTCTGAACAAAGTGAGTGGCATCCTTGTACATGTTTGGCCAATAATAACCCTGTCTAAGGACTTTATGAGCCAAAGTTCGAGCACCTAC